ACTAGTATTATCCCGCTGATAGTATTCACGTCTCATATCTGAATTGTTCGTTCTTTCGGCCGGATATAGGAGTTTTCTCATCTTCATATATAGATATCATCCCTATCTCCCAGAATATTAGACGTGCGATGGACAAATATCAGGGTTCACTGTAAATACACTTTATCAATATTGACAAGATGATCTGTACCACTATTGGCTGTCTCTGTATATTGTTTATATCAATACACTCTTATCGTTCAGGCAGTAAAGCAGGCAATGAACAAAGATTGGGGTTCACGCGATGTGCACTTTATCAGCATAGTTAAGAACATCCGCAACAAGCTTCTGGAGATCGCCGGGGTAACTGACGCCACACACACAGCCGTTCCTTTACAAGGTACGTTGGCAGATAAGGCCCTTATATTAGAGTTTGTACGGATACATGAGATATCTAGCGTTATATTAGAATTTGTACGGATACATGAGATATCTAGGATTGAGGGTGTTTCAACCACACCGTAGTACAGTTGATGATAATTGCGAATCGGTGTAGGGTTTTAACCACTGAACACGCTAAGCTCACCCTTGTTGTTATTGGAGAGGTTGGCGTGTGTGTGTAGTATATGCGTGTTCTATGCTATCCAATTTGGCTTAGCTAACTTTCCGCTAGTGAGTGCCGAATACCACTCCCATATATGCGAACCCTTCGCGATTGCCTCTGTTGGCAGGTATAATACGTTCAATGCGCCTATGTGTGTATTGTGCGATGTGCGTGAATGATTTCGTAGGATACATATAGCTGTATATGTAGTTCTGGGCGTGTACAGTGATGTATACGCTCGTATGCTGCGACAGTGTACTGTTTTTGAGTGGGTAGGTATGTTGCAATTAGTTGAAAACTCCACCAACACCCTTGCGGCGATATACTGATTTGCATACGTACAATTTGGTGTGTATAAGTATTTATACAGATATTGGAGTATACAGTTATTCGCACACACTTCAATGTGCCGTTTCTATACATATTTGTTCATGAATACGATCCACCCCTTGTGTATAGATAGTCGGCCAAACCCCTTCATTACACTGTTAGCCTATACTACAGGCCTATGTTTAATTCGATATACGCACGAGCTCTCACTGAAGAACACAGCAACTGACACGCGTGCGTCCATATCTGTCTACTACTGTTCCCAGGCGCCGGTACCTTTGCCATTGAGAGTGTCATATCTTCTGCCGTCCCGCGTGGGGGTAAGTTCGTGATCTTCAGTAACGGGTCGTATGGGGATCGTATGCAGAGTGTGGCCGATTGCTACGGTTTGGATGTTGTGTTTGAACGCTTTGACGAGAAAACGCCGGTGGATCTGGCGCGTGTCAGAGAGGTATTGGAAGATAATAAGGATGCCGCACTGGTATGTACACATGTATACGCGTGTATACACATACATGTATACATAGAATGTGCTGGGGTGTTTTGTACACACATGTATTCATATAATGTGCTGGGGTGTTTTGTACACATATGTATACATAGAATGTGCTGGGGTGTTTTGTACACACATGTAGACACAGAATGTGCTGGGGTGTTTTGTATACACATGCATACAGAGAATGTGCTGGGGTGATTTGTATATACATGTATACATAGAATGTGCCGGGGTGTTTAAATTCCAATGCATCCTATACTGACAATCAGGATCGACAAAACATACCGTATGAACAAAACACAAGGGAGATTGCAATACCTGATGACACCAAACGGATTTCGCTTCATATAACCACGACTGACCACAAAACGTACTGCACGCAACAGGTCGCAGCGGTGCACAGTGAAACGAGTAGTGAACTAATTAACGACGTGTCGGGATTGGGTGCTGTCGTAAAACTCATATAACCATGATTGACCACAAAACGTACTGCACGCAACAGGTCGCAACGGTGCACAGTGAAACGAGTAGTGGACTAATTAACGACGTGTCGGGATTGGGTGCTGTCGTAAAAGAAGTCCTCCCCGCCGAAGCCAAATACTTTGTCGACGCCATGAGCAGTTTTGGCGGCATTCCCCTGGATATGAGGGAAGCCAACATAGACTTCCTCGTGAGTTCGGGTATGTCATACGCGGGGGTGGGGTACAGTGAGCGCTTGATGGAGTGGTTGTGTGTGTTATATGAACGTGTGTGGTTGCAGTGTATATGCCAGTACGCGGGTGTGATTGTCGTGTAGGGTTTCATGGTTTAGGGTTGTGGTTGTGACTGTGATTGTAGTGCTTTGGCGCGGTCGATAGGGGAGGTTGTGTATATGTATATAAGCATGTGTGAAGCAGTGCGCAAGCTGTAGTATTCGTTTTTGTGTGCGCGTATGTAGCCTAGTAACATGACTTTATCTCATTTTAGGCTAGCGAAGGCTATGGCGTGTGGTGCATCCGAAGTGAGTGTCAATCGTGCGAGGAAAAACATATACATATGCGTATGTGAATTGACCTGCCGATAAACCCATAAATGGTGACAACTACGGGTGCGTTTGTGCATGGGAATAACGCCAACAACACGTATAAGTACTTCTACGTGTTCAAGTACACGTTTAGGAATGTGTACATACAGCCAACATCATTCCTGTATAATTTTGAGGTCGTGTATAGTACAAATACATCGTACACCGCATATGTACACCGTCTGACGCTACGTTCGCCCATGTATGTATTCGTGTATTTTATTATACACAGCTAACAAGTGCTTGGAAGGCGTTCCCGGCTTCTCGTATGTCATCTGCACACGAGAAGCGCTGGAGAGTTGCAAGGGCAACGGGCGCACGGTCAGTCTGGATCTGTTCAACCAGAACAAAGGACTGGACGCCAATGGACAGTTCAGGTACATGCATGTACGTATGTACTTGAGTTCAGTGACTATATTCATATATATATAGAAGAAAACTGTCAGTTCTTCTGCTGCGTGCTGTAGTTCATACCTAATTTATACCCACACTCAGTTCAGTTTACTGTGAGTACAATCATGGGCAAGTTTCGTCGTCAAGTTCGAAGAGTACAGCTGCACATGTTGATAGTTTTGGGTTAGCGTGAGTTGAACTATATACATTTTATTTGGGACTACAATCTAGTATCACACTGCCGGGACCACGGTTACACATACGAATGGTTGGTGAAATCAAGTCACGTGTAGCAGTATGATTTGAACGGTATTCGTATTTTCCTCGTAGCGTATCTAAGCAGCACCCTAGCAACCATTCTAGTCTCCGAAAATTCCGCCCCTATTCGTTCACCCGCCTTGGCGCACCCACAGGTATGAACCCCAAACGTCACACACGTGCGCCTGAGGGACAGACACGTACATGCGAATCATAAATTGCTCATACGAAACCGATCTCACAATATACACAGATACACCCTCTCTTCCCACTATGTATCCCTCCCACCCAATCACTTTCCCCAGAGAATGGGCTTTCAAAGTATTGCTCTTTTTGAAGGGTTTCCTGTCAAATCCTCAATGAAATCTCAAACCCCATCAATCGCGCAACTCCAAACCGTACCTACTCCACAGATTCACACCCGCTACCCACGCAATGTGTGCTTTCAATGAAGCGCTGGCTGAGTTTGACGCAGAAGGGGGCATTGAGGCCCGCTACAACCGATACAGAACGAACAATACCATTGTTCTAGAGGTGAGCTCGTATGTGGGTGCATGCATGTTTCTCTGTATATGAGTATGTACCTAAGTGATGTTTCAACGGATTCATGTGGTACAGTTGTTAGTATAGCACCTTAGTTGATGCTCGTATGCTATATATATATATATACATTATGTATTATACATTCAACCAGATGCCGATCAATGATCCTTTTATATCCAAAGACCGTACATGCATATGAGTATACATATATATATGTATATATATGTATTACGGTATTTACGCATTGATTGATTCATTTTTCTGAATGTGTTTTTGCACTTTTTCAAATTTGTAAAAGTGTGCCGCAATTTGTGCTACTTTGCGGCTTTATTGTTGTGTATCGCCATTTGTACGTACTTCAGCGTATATGCACAAGTGTATGATCGCGTTTTGCGTAGATTTATATTTCCTTTATGTGCAACGATTGCACACACTTGTTTTTGTTTATCATCTACTCTTTACCAATGACTACAGGGCATGCGAGCTCTGGGGTTCAAATCTTTCCTAAAGGACGAAGATCAAGTAAGTTGATTCCTCACATTCTATCTGAACATGGTTAAACATAGCATAGTTTGGAAAAATACAAATTTCTTTAGTATTTTTTGTATGTGCTTGACCATGTATGTGTCTAACCATGTATGCACATAAGCATGTACTTAAGCCATGATTTATACATATAAATAAATCGTTCAACACACACTCAGCGAACGCTATGTACCCCCCTGGACCAAACACTTGCATGTGCAGGGTCCCTTCATCACGTCGTTCCTATACCCTGACCACCCCAACTTCGATTTCAACGAGTTCTATGAGAAGCTAAACGCCAAGGACCTATGCATCTACCCTGGCAAGGTATGTACAATGATCTCTTTTCAGTCTATGATGACCCATATAATATTATCTCCGCCACAACAGAGGTGTGTTGGTCAATACTCTCATATTCGTGTGTCACGTGAAATAGAAATCTCTGAATACAATATATTCCGACGAAGTACGTATATTAACCCCTCCTTAATCTCCATTGACTTGTGCAACACTATCCTGTTGCAGAGGCGAATAGAGCACTGCTTCCATGCTCGTGCCTTAGACTATTCAATTTATATCTGCAGCTACACTGGCGGTGTATTTGTATTGCACTCTCCGCATCCTCTAACAAGCTTTAAAATAATATTTCCGCCACAGGGGCGTGTAGAGAAATACTTAATACTCCCAGAATTGTGTTCGATTTTAAATCAATCTCTATATATATCTCAGTAATGAGCTTCCCTTATCCTCCACAACATGTAGAATATCATTCCGTCAATGAAGGCTTATTGGGCAATCATCAACATATTTGCGCTGAAGATATGTATATGTATGTA